TTTAAATTCATTGGGACTTTTTTTTTAATCTTTTTATTTTTTTATTCTTATGTTAATCCCCATACATTTTTTTATTCTTATGTTAATCCCCATACATCATTAATTTTAGATGTAGTGTTCCATGATTCATTGTTTGTGCATAACACCCAGTGCTCCATGCAGAATGTGCCCTCCTCAATACCCACCACCAGGCTAACCCATCCTCCCACCCCCCTCCCCTCTAGAACCCTCAGTTTGTTTTTCAGAGTCCATCGTCTCTCGTGGTTTGTCTACCCCTCCGATTTCCCCCACTTCATTCTTCTCCTCCTGCTACCTTCTTCTTCTTCTTTTTTTTCTTAACATATATTGCATTATTTGTTTCAGAGGTACAGATCTGAGATTCAACAGTCTTACACAATTCACAGTGCTCACCATAGCACATACCCTCCCCAATGTTTCTCACCCAGCCACCCCATCCCTCCCACCCCACCCCCCACTCCAAAGACAACCGACAGAATGGGAGAAGATATTTGCAAATGACATATCAGATAAAGGGCTAGTATCCAAAATCTATAAAGAACTCATCAAACTCAACACCCAAAGAACAAATAATCCAATCAAGAAATGGGCAGAAGACATGAACAGACATTTTTCCAAAGAAGACATCCAAATGGCCAACAGACACATGAAAAAGTGCTCAATATCGCTCAGCATCAGGGAAATCCAAATCAAAACCTCAATGAGATACCACCTCACACCAGTCAGAATGGCTAAAATTAACAAGTCAGGAAACGACAGATGTTGGCGGGGATGCGGAGAAAGGGCAACACTCCTACACTGTTGGTGGGAATGCGAGCTGGTGCAGCCACTCTGGAAAACAGTATGGAGGTTCCTCAAAAAGTTGAAAATAGGGCTACCATATGATCCAGCAATTGCACTACTGGGTATTTACCCCAAAGATACAAAAGTAGGGATCCGAACGGGTACGTGCACCCCGATGTTTATAGCAGCAATGTCCACAATAGACAAACTGTTGAAAGAGCCAAGATGTCCATCGACAGATGAATGGATAAAGAAGAAGTGGTATATATATACAATGGAATATTATGCAGCCATCAAAAGGAATGAGATCTTACCATTTGCAACGACGTGGATGGAACTGGAGGGTATTATGTTGAGCGAAATAAGTCAAACAGAGAAAGACATGTATCATATGATCTCACTGATATGAGGAATTCTTAATCATTGGGACTTTTTATGGGCCAGCATATGATCTACCTTTTGACAAATGCATCATCTACACTTGAAAATAATGTGTATTCTTCAGTTACTGGATGTAGTAGTACACAGGTATTAATTAGACCCCTGAGGTTGGTGATGGTGTGTAGATCCCCTGTGTCTTACTGATACTTTGTCTAGTTCTATCAGTTGTTGAGAGGCAGTAAAACCCATTCTGATTGTGAACTTGTCCATTTCTCCATTTAACTCAGCCAATTTTTGCCTCATGTACTTTCAAGTTCTGTTATTATGTGTGTACAAATTTATAATTGTTAATTTAAGTTTCTCTTATGAAACATTCGTCTTTGTCTCTGGTCATACTTTTTTTTCAAGTCTCTTGTCTGATACTAAAGTAGCCACTTCAGCACCTTATGCTTACTGTTTACATGGTACATACACTGTCTTCTACCTGTTCATTTCCAGCTTATCTGTGTCTTTAATGTGTCTTTCTTATAAACTAATAGACAGCATGTACTAGGGTCTTGCTTTTTCACCTATTCTCTGCCTTTTAATTGGAGTATATAAACCAATTAACATTTATTGAGTTATGGAAATGATTAAATTTAACATACGATTAAGTTTTTGTTTATCCCGTTTGTTTTTGTTTTTGTTTTTGTTTTGCTTTTTATTTCTTCTTTTTTTTTATTTGAATGTTTATTAGTGTTCCATTTCAGTTTACTTATTGGCTCTCTGCTTCTGTGTCTTTGCATTACTTGTTATTGGTTGCTCTAGGGATTACAACAGGCTTAGTGTCTAACCATTGACAGTCTGCTTAGAATTAACTTCATGCCATTTCACATAATATATAGAAACCTTGCAATCATATAAATCCCTTTTTCCTAGTCTTTTTTGTTCTAGTTGACAAATGTGTTACATTGCGTACAGATATTATAACTTTTAAATCAGTTGTATATATATTTTATATATATGTGTCTATATTATATATATGTATATGTATGTTTAAGGAATGTAAGAGGAAAAAACAGACTTTTATTTCTACTCAACTATTCTTTCTGTTGCTTTCTTCATTTCTTGAAGATATAAATTCCTTCTTAACATTTCCTTTTAGCCTAAGAACTTTCTTGAATATTCTTTTAGAACAGATATGCTGATGAATTATTAGTCTCTCTTCTTCTGAAAAGGTGTTTGTTTTGCTTTTTTCTCCTGAAGGATATTTTAGGTGAAGTTCTTTTCTTTCAGTACTTTAAGTCTAGATATTATTTCATTGAGTTCTTGTTTTTACGATTTATAATAAATCTGTAGCCACTGAAATCATTATTCCTCATGTGTACTGTATTGGTTTTTACTGGATGCTTTCAAGATTTTTTTTTATCCTTGACTGTTAGTACTCTGGTTTTGATGTGTCTAGGCATGATTTTTCTCTGAATTTATCCTATTTGAGATTTGTTGAGCTTCTGAAATTTATAAAATATATGTCTTTCACCAGATTTTAGCAGCTTGGGGCCACTGTTTCTTCAAATACATTTTTTTTTTGCCTCGATAATCTTTTTCGTCTCCTCTGGCATCCAAATTACACATTTATTTCCCAGGTCCCTCAGGTTCCATTTATATCTTTTCAATCTTTTTTTTCTTTGTTGCTCAGATTTTATAATTTCCATTGATCTATCTTCAAGTTCATTGACTATTTTCTCTGTCCTCTCCATTCTGCTACCTAGCCCATCTAGCAACTTGTTTGTTAGATATTGTATATTTCCATTCTAACATTTCCATTTGATTCTCCTTTATAGTTTCTATTTCTCTGAGAATTTATATTTCCATTCATTTCAGATGTTTTCCTTTACCTTATAAAACACAGTTATAAACACATAAGTTCTTAAATTCTTAAATTCTTTGGTAGTTCTAACTTCTGGGTCATTCAGAGTTGCCATCTACCATTTTCCCCTTGAGAATTGGTCATAATTTTTTGGTTCTTTTATATTAAATGATTTTAAATTGCATTCTGGATGTTATGAATGCAGTGTTGTATCAACTCTAGGTCCTGCTTACAGTGGAGCAGAAAATACAGGATTAACTTAAAAACAAAAACCCTGAGGAGTTGCAGTGCCAACATGGCAAGTGAAAACCTGGATATAGCCCATCCTTACTGCTGATTACAGCTAAAAACTCTGGGCCTGAGATAGCGGTCGGAGCACTTTGAAAATGAGTAAAGCAGGAAGATGGTGGAGGGGAGTCAACATTCCGGAGAATGTTTTCATTTTAGCAAGTCATCACCCTTTTATGTTCATACCGTAAGTTCTGTCTCATTTTCTGTGAGTTGTGGTTTCAATCTCAGTTCAGTTCTCTTAAGTTTTTGCTACACTGATTTGGGTCTTCCCTGTCACATGTGGTTCAGGGGTGAGTCTGATAGTTGTGTGCATAGTTCAAATCTCAGCTCTTTCTCTAAGTCTTTTCTACATTGGTTTGGGGGTGTTCTGTGCTGCTGTTATTCACGGGTTAGGCTGAGACTTGTGTATTCTAATCTCAGTTCACATATGAAAATATTGCTGTGTTACCTTGAGTCTGAATTGCAAGTGTATAGCTCAGGGGTTATTCTTCAGCTAGTTTTGGTTCCTTCACAGCTTTAGAGTATCTTCTTCATCCAGTCTTCCTGGATTACCTCCACACTCTTCAATTTGTAAGGGCTTTTTAAAAGTTTTTTCTTTGTTCTTTTCACCAAAAAGGCTCCTACTGGAATTTAGTCACACAGAACAGCATGATGCTCTGCAAATGTTCCCACCCTCAGGGCAAAGCTAAGAAGAAATAAAAGTTAAAACTCTACCCCATGCAGGTTGATTCCTCGCCACAGTCTACCTGCTTTTTATTTATTTTCAGAGTGCTGAGATAGTTGTCTGGGCCCAGAGTTTTTAGCTGAAATCTGCAGGAAGGATGGGCTATGGTCAGTTTTTTGCTTGCCCTATCAGCATGCAACTCCTTAGGTTTGGTTATGTTTTTACAGTTAATCCTGTATTTTCTGCTCCATTATAACTTAGTAGCAGATAGGCAACATTACTGAACATTTGGAAGTTCAGTAGTATTCTAAGAAGGTGTTTATAATTTTGCAAAGGAGGAATGAATAGCATTTAGTCTTCGAATTCAGTCAATTAGTAAAACAAAACATTGATGGCATACTTACTATGTGCTGTGTATGGAAGACAGTAAAATAATTTCAGAGTTTACCTTACAACCTAGTAGGCATTAGGCTTGCTTCAATGAATAACGATCAGTAAGTATGGTAATAAGCATATTATCTGCAAAAGACAGGAGTTTTTCCTCAAGGGTTAAAATACTATTTTTACTTAACTAACATTATAACCTTCAAAATAATGAATAGCACAGACACAATGCAATTTAATCTTGAATCCATATTCAAATCAGTGTTGTACTTTCATATCGGTAGAGAAAATCTGAATGACACTTTAATCAATTTGCTTTTTTCTAAGTTTTTAAATCTGGTTTATGAAAAACACATTATTTTTTATTTAAAGATTTTATTTGATAGAGAGCGTGAGCACAAGCAGGGTGAGGGGCAGAGGGAGAAGCAGGCTCTCCGCTGAGCAGGGAGCCTGATGCAGGGCTTGATCCCGGGACTCTGGGATCATGACCTGAGCCGAAGGCAGACGTTTAACCTACTGAGCCACCCAGATGCCCTGAAAAATACTTTAATACATGATGATTTCTTTTTTAGTGTCCTCCTTAGGGTAGCTGATGTAAACTTTTGTAAACTCTTTTTAATTAAATCGCAGACACGACCAGAGCAAGAAGAAGCCAGGAGAGCGATGGTGTGGAATATATTTTCATTTCCAAGCATTTGTTCGAGACAGATGTACAAAATAACAAGTATGTGGCGGTTTTTTGTGTGACTCTTGTTTTTAAGCCTGTGCCTCTGTATCCAGTTTCCAGGGAACTGAGGGTTCCCTTCCATTTGAAATAAATTTTAAGTTTTATAATATCTGAAATGGATAAAAAGGTGATAATTCAGTTAGTAGGTGTTATCAGTCTTCACCTGTAATTTTTTAATAACCTAGAGCTGCTATGTTTCTGGTAAGTTCAATGGGTAGGAATTATTTTGAAGGATGAGGGAATGTTGCTCATATATTATTGTGACCTCTTTCCACCCCACTCATTGAATCTTAACATAGAATTTGAATAGAATTTTCTTTAAAAAACTAACAACAATGTAATAGATCCCTAGTTCGACCATCTCTCCCGCATGCACCTCTCACCCTCATTGGCTCTTCAAAAAATTAAAATACTGTTCATCACCTTGCTTGTACCACGTCCCCTGGCCAGCTCTAACCCTCCCCCCCCAACCTCCCCAGGTCCTCCATTTGCTTCAGCGTGAATATTTTAGGGTATCAGGAAGCAATGTGTGTTTTAATGTGAGATTTGGGGATTTTATTGAAACATCAAAATGCTTTTTTCCACGTTTGGCACAGCGATTGTGTTTTTATAGCACGTAATCGGCTGCCCTGCTTCCATTAGCCACCAGGCAGCCCCTCCTGTCGTTCTAAAGCTGAGCGTGGTTATTCTGTAGCGTGCAGTGAAAGTTCAGTAGTTTCTATTGTTTGGCTTATTCACTGCTTTATTGCATTGCATTAGTTCTGAAAAAGAGGTGATGGAAAACAGAGTACTGCTGGCCTGAAGTACTTTTTTTCTGCTTAAGTGTAATACAAGCAAGTGTTACTGATTTGAAAATGTAAAATACAAGATTTTTAAAAATTGACATTCTGGAGGACTTGGCCCTACTTATTTTATTGAACACAGTAAAAAAAAAAATTACATGTTCAGCAAAAATCTTTTCTATATTTGAATTATGTCTTCCCACTTATATCTATAATTAATTCACAAATGGCTCTGATTTAGATCTGATTTCCTACAGGTTTATTGAATACGGTGAATATAAAAACAACTACTACGGGACGAGTATAGACTCCGTGCGGTCTGTCCTAGCTAAAAACAAAGTTTGTTTGTTGGATGTTCAGCCTCATGTAAGTGAACAATGAACTATTCAGTACCATTCTGGCCCATGTGAGCTACCACACTCCATGTGAACCTTTCAATCTGGGGGTAAATCTGAAGGCTGCTCACTTTGGGCATATCTGTGGCTTTCCTAATGACAAAAGCATTTAAATGTAATTTGAGAAGTCTCTGGTGAGAGGAAAATAAAAAAGGCCCATAATGTTAAAAAAGAGGAGTTAGGGGAAGCCACAAGATCTGTTTGTAACTCTTGTTTATATTCTGTGTTAGCCAAGTACAAGACTCTTAGATATTTCTTCTGTGTAAAATACGGTGCTACGTGTATAATGGATTTTTAAGTGTTAAGTCTGATTATAAGTGTTTGTAATTTTTACAATGGACACTTTGGTTCTTGGCCTTCTTTTGAGTCTCTACATATCCTAGAAGCATACACCCTGTACACAGAGCTGTGGGACATTTCACAGGAATTGAACTGAATGAGATCCTTCCTGCGGCTGTCAGCTGAATCCTTGCTGGCAGCCGGGGAATGCTTAGGAACACTTTGGACCAAGGATGCCAGTGGATGAAGCCATTCCGTTCTTACTGAACCATATCTCCTCCAGCAGAGACCCTCCCCATAGCGTTTTCCTTGTTACCCAGGGGCCACAGAGTCTCGCTCCACTGATGGGTACACAACCTCCAAGAGTGAGTGGCCTGGAGAAGCCCTTCATTCTTCTTCAGGAAGATGAATCTGGAGTCAAAGCGCCCCAAGAATCAGTAGGGCAGCTGACCCCTTCACGTAGGCACCGGCGATGAGTAGACTACTCCTGCTTGTGCAGCCGGCTCTGTGCCAGGGCCCTGGGTCTAGTCGTGTACAGCTTTGTCAGTGCAGGTCCAGCTCTCTGTCCGAGAGCCTCACTAGCCCTCCGGACGTATGGATCCTCCGGCTGCACCCCCACACCCCACCATAACCTTTCAGGGGAGTTTGTGGTCTGTACTCACGTTCTGAGGAGGCCCTGACACACAGGTCAAGAGGCTCCCTCCACTCCCACCCTTTTGCCATTCCCCCTAGACTGTAGACGAGTCCTCAGAAGCATAGCGGAAATAATGTAAGATATTTTGATGGGAGAATGTTGACAAGCTTCATGGAAAGCGGAAGTCTTGCCCACAGAACGGCAAACAAGACAGACAGAATGACAGACTCCTGTTTGAGATCAGGAAGAGGCTTAGGTGGGATGGTTGGAAAACTTTCATGTGCAGACACTTAACGCATAGCATCTTTTGAGTATTTGATTTAAAAATCAGTTTTATGATATTTTTAGCTGCTTCTGTCCAATATGAATTATGACATTTTTCAAAACATTTTAAAAGGCAAGTTATATTCTCCAACATTTTTTCAGGGGTATATAATTATGACATTTAATTATGACATTTAACTGATTGAATAATATATTGAAAGAGCTACTGGCCTTAATTAGATAATTTTAAGGAATTTTCTCCTTTGAAAGAAACTTTGGTTTACTGTAAAATTCACTCATGACATTATGAAGAAATAAAAGAAGACTTATTTTCTTCCTTGCAGACAGTGAAGCATTTAAGGACCCTAGAATTTAAGCCCTATGTGATATTTATAAAGCCTCCATCAATAGAGCGTTTGAGGGAGACAAGAAAAAATGCAAAGATTATTTCAAGCAGAGATGACCAAGGTGCTGCAAAGCCTTTTACAGTAAGTACAGTGATGCTCAGTAAGAAGATGTAAGTGGTACTTGAAATCATACATGTGGGAGCCACTACTTTCGGAAAACATGGTGTAGTAGATGCTGTGATCCAAAACCCGATAAAAGACAGAATTGTATTTGGGTACAGACATTTTGAGTGATTGCGCTGTACTGGCTTTCTGTGCTTCTATGAATAGATCTTCAAATTATATTGACTGAACTATCCCTGTAATAATAAGTGAATGAGTGACAATCCTGAAATTCACGAAAGGTGGGAACTTTGATTCTGTGCAAGCAGTTGAGCAGATCCGAGAGAGAACATCAGAAGGTATGACGTCTGAAGAACTTGCAGTTCAAGAGGGTCATTTTCATTTGTGGCTGAAAGAATAAACACAGAATAGCATTTGATAAACCAGTTGTGGAAATGTCTGCGTCCATGTAAAGTGATGTAATTGCCTGGTTAACCAAAGTTTTTTTAATTCTTCCTTTTGCAGGAAGAAGACTTTCAGGAAATGATTAAATCTGCACAGATAATGGAAAATCAGTATGGTCATCTTTTTGACAAAATTATAGTAAATGATGACCTTACCGTGGCATTCAATGAGCTAAAAACAACTTTTGACAAATTAGAGACAGAAGCCCACTGGGTTCCAGTGAGCTGGTTACATTCATAACTAAGGGAAATTCCCACAATCATCTTTTTTGTAGAGTGCATGATGAAATCAGTTACCGTTCTGGTGGTAGGGCTTTTTAATCTATATCACTGTTGTAGATGTGCAGTCTTGCTTAAAACTGAATGTTGGTTTTGTTTGTATCTTTATCCAGCCTTACTTCAAACACAATATTTGAGTAGAAGATCCAAAATCAAAATTTGCACAGTACTGTATTTTGAGCAGAGCTTTGAACTTTTTGGTTGTCTTTAATATACAGCTGTATCTCCAAGATGAGGTTGGACTTTTTAGAGAGAAACAGCTAGGGAATTGATACTGGAGTTCAGTGCTTCAGCAGGTCTCAGACGTGGTCCCTCCATCAAGTTTGTACGTTAACAGTTGAAGGTACTAACTTAGCAGCCTTGAGCAGCTCCAGGCAAACAGGACAGCTTTGCTGTTCTTTGGATGGGTCACTATAGGTTCACCTAGGCTGACAATAAGGCGTCCTCTTGCTATTCTAAAAGCGCAACCTTTTTCTTACATATATACAATATAGTCAGAGTGTATTTAAAAATCTTTCTTAAAGGAATTACGACACGTTTGCCTTAGTGAGTGGCCTGCATGTTATAGCTTGAGACGACCTCTTAGGACTACATATCAGTGACTCGAGTATTTAATGAGGGAAGATACGACTTTTAAAAATGATTGTATATGTAACTAAAAGCCCTTCCTTATGGTGTTAGTCTTTGTAAGGTTGGTGATATCTTGGGGCAAGTAATGATTACGAAGGACATTTTTATTTGTAAATCCTCAGACAGGATTTCCAGAGTCACTATCCAATAAATTATAAGAATGTGATTCCTATTCTCAAAGTAGATGTTTTACATGTTACTGATACAGTTAAAATGTGATCATTTTTCACATGTGCAATTGATCATATACTTAAATTGCACTAAAATGTATTTTAGAAAAACTTTTCGTATAATGTTAACTTACCTCTTCATCATCAAAATAATTCTTAACACTGGTCAGGTACCATCCTAATCTTACCATTTTTAAAGAATCTTAAGAAAGACTCGTAAATAATTTAGATGGGCTCTCATTTTTCTTTGTTACTACTGAACTTCAGCATACTAGAAAGAGCCATAAGTTGTTTAAGAGAACGTCTTGCCATTCTTGCATGCAGTAAGACCCTGCCAATCAAAAATCATCACATCTATGACTTTCAAACAGAAAATATTTTTTGTTGATTTGTAAAGAGAGTTTAGATGTCATAAGAAAAATAGAATGTAGTGAAATTTTATATATTTATAAAATCTTTGAAAGGCGTATTTTTTTAATTATCAAATGGAGCTATTCATAAAATAAATTGTATGTAAAGATGTCATAATTTAAAAGAGTAGTTTTATAAGTCAGGGTCAACATTCCATGTAAATATTTGACCTTTGTTCGTTCACAGATAGCCCACGAGTGTTATATGTGCACTGTGCACTTGGTAGCATTATCCACTGGATTTCCTTCAGACGCGTCAAATTTCATATTAGAAACAGAGACAAAAACTGCTGTAATGGTCTTGATACACACTCTCACTAAAACAATCAGACCAGATGTTACTTAACATGATCCAGACAGTGAGTTCTAAGTTTATAAAGTCAATAGCAAGCCATCTAGATTTTTAAAGGAGTGGGGAAGAGGGCTGCCGTACTTTAAAGTTGTATGGCTGCTCTAAGAAAATACAACTCTTAGACAGAGAGTTTGGGTAGAATAGACTCCTCTTTGAACACTAAGATCTCCTATAAATCAAAGCTTCCTGTACAAGGAGTAATGGGAAACGTGTAATTATCTAGGCAATTGTCTAAATAATTTAATTTAGGCAGTCCAACCAAATTCTTTACTGTGGGGGTAGAGGGTAGTGTAATGTGGTGGAAACAGAGTCCTTCTGGCTGTTGGTGGCGATGGGGTGTTATTTAAAAATATAACTGTCCAGGGGCGCCTGGGTGGCTCAGTCGTTGAGCGTCTGCCTTCAGCTCGGGTCGTGATCCCAGGGCCCTGGGATCGAGCCCCACGTTGGGCTCCCTGCTTAGCGGGGAACCTGTTTCTCCCTCTCCCACTCCCCCTGTTTGTGTTCCCTCTCTTGCTGTGTGTCTCTCTCTGTCAAATAAATAAATAAAAATCTTAAATATATATATATATATATATATAACTGTCCAGACCTTTCTCCCTTTTCACACTAGAATTTTTTGTTTGTTTGTTTTTAATGAAAAGGGGCACCCTGGCAATTTGAGAAATGTTTTATTAGGTTAAAACTGAGTAAGGCAGTGCCAAGGGCTCGTTGATAACTGTTGCGGAAGGCCCTGGACTCTTGCGTCTGCACCCAGACCACCTCTAGCAAGGAGACGTGCCCGGCGCTCCTCACTGTACTAGTTTGGCTGGCTCCCAAGACAGTGTCAGCCACTGTTGCAGAGAAGAGGAATGTTTATAGTTTTGAGTCCGTATATTTAAAATCTGAGATCAGGAAATTCTATATTCCCGTGACTACCAAATTAGAGTCAGTTAAAAATAAAAAGGTGAAATTGAAGTATTTTTTTCCTGTTGCTTTACTTATATAGATGTTCTTAATATCTTTAAGGCTGACATTCCTGGTATTGTATAATGATTGAATGTATCTAAATTGTAATAATTTAAAATTAACAAACCTGTAATCTTCATAGATTTACGAAACTGTTATTAAAAGCTGCTTGAAGATCTGGATTTCTGTTATTTTCTTTTTGACTAGTAAGGATTTCTAAATAAATGTAATGGAAAACCTTTGATCTTCATAAAGTATCTTCAAATCTGTTCTTGCGCTTGGGTATTTAGGATATTGCTTCCCATGGTGGATCAAATTCTGTTTTCTACTCTGATGCCAAGTGGTTCCTTTGAACTTGCCATGTCTAAAATTAAACTTCATGTTTAACTGGGTTGTTTGAGAGATGGAACTTACTAGTCCTGCTCCTCCCCACACAGTGCAGCCATTTAAAGATACGGAGAAATAAAGGGGGGGTGGACGATCGGGGCCCATCCGTGATGGGATCGTCCCTTCTCCTGCTCCTCGCCATCAGGAACTAGAGCATTATCCACATCCTGTTCCTGAATTCCAGTCAGGCAAAACGAAACTTTTTTATTTAGCTGTACATGAGGACAAACTGCCACCTGCTTAGATACACAAGCTAACTAGCAGCGGCCTTGCTTCAACAGTTGGGCCAGTTGGCCCCAGCTGTGCTTCCATGGAAAGACTGTACAGGATAGCAGCTGGAGCGTGGGATCTGGAGCCACACCTCCGGAGTCAGGTTCTGGTTTTGCCTATTACCAGCTTTGCAGCCTTGACACAGTCCTTTAGCCTCTCTGATCAGGTCATAATTCTGCTTACCTCATGGGATCGTTGTGGGCATGGAAGAGCTGATTCACGTAAAGTACTTGGAACAAAACCTGGGAAAGAAATATTCAATAACTGTGAACTCCTGTGTCATAGCGATTATTCTCACATCACACAATTTTAAAATAGCTCTGTAATCACCCCATATAAACAGTTCTCCATTAGCAAATTCACTGGAAGTTTCCTAATAATTTCTATGATGGTTTTATTATGTAAAAAACATCCATTACTTCCAAGTTATACATCAGGACCTAATTAAGTAATCCTATACAGGGAAGTGAACAGATTTTTATTTTTAGCCACTGGTATGTAATAGAACTTCTATCAATTTGAAAGAAATGTCCCTTAATTGTATTAATGCCTTTTCTTCTGCTGCCACACTTCCTTTCCAAAGGAGAAGGAGCGAGCATCCTTACCCTCAAGCTCCTAGAGGGCAGGGAGTATTTTTTGAAACTGCTGTCTTATACACACACTCTGACGCTGGACCAACAACTGCCGACCAAACTGTACTTATGACATCTGTATGATTTCCATTCACTATCTCACCTAATAAAATAGCAACCACACTATTTTCACTGCATTGTGCTTCCCGGTGTTGCTATAACTTGAGCCAGAGCTGGAAACATGAGATCTGGTAATTTGGAGAGGGTTTACCCTTTTTATGCATGCACAGTTTATAATTTTCTCAAAAAGCTGTTGCATTAAGTCAGAACTTGTTGCACCTATGCCTATAAGAACTGGTTAATCCACAAAAAGTGGCTATTATCAGAAGCAGACTTGTATAGCATAATATGCAATTTTGTTTAGTCCGCCTGAGTCCTGGTCCTTAGTGATGAATCAAGACAATTTGCACTTTGCAGGGATTAGTCTGAGTTGGTCGTGCTACCCAATTCCAGGTAATGTCTGTTGGAGAAGCTGTGAATAAGAGTTGTTCCTCTGATTTACTTTATCAAAGATTAAACATCTGCGTGAGGTAAGAGATCTTTTATGCCTTTGTTGTTTGAGATACTTCAATTATTTTGTGATGTTTGCCAATATGACAGCCATAATCCCAACCTTAAACCAGAGGATAATAAAGGTCAATCTGTGGAATGCCCGAGTAGAAAAAAGAAAAAATCCTAAATCCATGATATTATCGAGCTGTTGAACTGATCCTGGGACCTCCTTCCACTAATTGCTGAATACACAATAAAGGTTCTCATGGACTGTTGATGGGAATGTACATTGGTGCAGCCACTGTGGAAAACAACAACTATGGAGGTTCCTCAAAAGGTTAAAAACAGAACTGCATTATGATCCGGCAATACCACTTCTAGGTATATATCTGAAAGAAATGAAATCACTATCTCAAAGAGATATCTGTACTCCCATGTTAATTGCAGCATTACTCATAATAGGCAAGACAAGGAAACAACTTAAGTGTCCATCAACAGATGAATGGATAAAGAATGGATATATACACACACCAATATTATTCAGCTATGAGAAAGAAGGAGATTCTGCATTTGCAACGTGGATGGATTTTGAGGGTCTTATACTAAATGGAGTAAGTCAGAGAAAGGCAATAACTATGTTCTCATTTATATATGTATTCTGAAAAAGGCAAACTCAGAATGTAGGACGGTCATTGCCCGGGGCTGGAGGGTAGGGGAAATGGGGAGATGCTGATCAAGGGTACAAACTTCCAGTTACAAGAGAAATAAATTCTGGGGCTCAAATGTCCAACATACTGACTATAGCTAACAACTTTCAAGTACATTATACAGTATAGTTAAGAGTAGATTTTATCACCACACACAGAAAAAAGGTAATTATATGAGGTCTTGGAAGTGTTAACTAACACTGTTGCAATCCTCTCACAATACATACGTGTATTAAATCATCACCTTGTACACCCTAAACTTATGCAATGTTACAGGTCAATTATACTTCAATAAAGCTGAAAAAATATAAATGTTCTGATGGTTTAAGTCACTGTTAGGCTGTTTACCTGGAAAGCAGCATCCATGAGTAACTCAGGCCTCGCTCACTCTTCCCTTCACTTACCAAAGGCGGTCTTTCTGCTCAGCTGTCAACAAGCCCTGGAGTGAGACACAGTGATTGAACTTGAAAACACTCTGGAACCATAAAAATCATATAATCATCTCAATAGATACAGAAAAGCACTTGATAAAATTCAACATCCATTCATGTTAAAAACTCCCAAGAAGCGGGCTTAGAGGGAACATACCTCAAAATGATAAAAGCCATATATGAAAAACCCACAACTAACGTCATAGTCAATGGTGAAAAACTAAGCACCTTTCCCCTGAGGTCAGGAGCAAAACAAAGATGTCCACTCTCAACCACTTTTATTCAACTTAGTACTGGAAGTCCTAGCTTCCAGTAAAAACAAGGCATCCAAATTGGTAAGGAAGAAGTAAAACTCTATATGCGGATGACGTGATACTATACATAGAAAACCCTAAACACTCCACAAAAAAACTATTAGAAATAATAAATGAATTCAATAAAGATGCAGGACACAAAATTAATACACAGAAATCACTTGTATTTCTAAACAGTAGTAACAAACTAGCAGAAAGAGATATTAAGACAATTCCATTTACAATTACACCAAAAAGAATAAAACACCTAGGTATAAACCTAACCAAGGAGTGAAAGACCTGTACCTGGAAAACTATAAAACATTGATGAAAGAAACTGAAGATGACACAAATGAAAAGAACTAATATTGTTAAAATGTCCACACTACCCAAAGCAATCTACAGATTCAATGCAATCCCTATCGAAATACCAACAGCATTTTTTACAGAACTAGAAACAAATCATTTTATAGAACAAACTAGAGAGCCCAGAAATACACTCACACTTATATGGTTCACTAATCTACAACAAAACAGGCATGAATATACAATGGGAACAAAAGTCTCTTCAATATATGGTGTTGGGAAAACTGGACAGCTACATGCGAAAGAATGAAACTGAACCACTTTCTTATACATAAAAATAAACTCAAAATGAATTAAAGACCTAAATGTGAGATATGAAACCATAAAACTAAAAGAAAACATAGGCAGTAATTTCTTTGACATCAGTTTTAACAACATTTTTCTAGATAGGTCTCTTCAGGCAAGGGAAACGAAAGTAAAAATAAATTATTGGGACTATACCAAAATAAAAAGCTTTTGCACAGCAAAGAAAACCATCAACAAAACAAGAAGGCAACCTACGAAATGGGAGAAGATTATTTGCACATGATATATCTGATCAGGGGTTAATATCCAAAATAATATAAATAACTTATACAACTAAACACCAAAAACCCCACAAGTAATCCAATTAAAAATGGGCAGAGGACCTACATATAAATTTTTCCAAAGAAGACATACAGATGGCCAACAGACACATGACAAGATGCTCAACATCACTAATTATTAGAGAAATACCAATCAAAACCACAATGAGATATCACCTTACATCTGTAAGAATGGCCAGAATCAAAAAGACAAGAAATAACAAGTGTTGGCGAGGATATGGGGAAAAAGGAGTCCTTACACACTGTTGGTGGAAATGTAAATTGGTGCAGCTGTGGTGGAAAACAGTATGGAGGCTCCTCAAAATACTAAAAATAGAAAAGCCATATGGTCCAGTAATTCCACTACTGGGTATTTACCCAATGAAAATGAAAACAGATTTCCTTTAAAAATGAAATCCAGGGGCGCCTGGGTGGCTCAGTTGGTTAAGCTTCTGCCTTCAGCTCAGGTCATGATCCCGGGTCCTGGGATCGAGCCCCACATTGGGGTCCCTGCTCAGTGGGGAGTCTGCTTCTCCCTCTCCCCCTCCCCCTGCTTGTCCTGTCTCTGTCTCTCTCAAATAAATAAAGAAAATCTTTAAAAAAAAAATAACCAGGGCTATAGAACAATATAATTACTGTAAATATTAAAGAGAACCTATTATAGCGTAAGTAAAAGTACTGGCAACAGTACTTGGTAGATGCAAGCAAAAAGAAACAAAACAAAGGAGGCAGTAAGAAGAAGAAGAAGAAGAAGAAAAACAAAAAAAGAAAACAAAAGAGGCAGGAAGAAGAAGAAGAAGAGGAAGAGGAAGAAGAAGAAGAAGAAGAAGAAGAAGAAAAAGAAACAAAACAAAAAGAAAACAAAGGAGGCAGTAAGAAGAAGAAAAAGAAACAAAACAAACAAAAAGAAAACAAAGGAGGCAGGAAGAAGAAGAAGAAGAAGAAAAGAAGAAGAAGAGAAGAAGAAGAAGAAGAAGAAGAAGAAGAAGAAGAAGAAGAAGAAGAAGAAAAGAAGAAGAAGAAGATCAAGACTGAATTCAATGTTTATTAATTGGGTCGATTAATCCTCCTGTAGTAATCAGTAGTATAAGCCACAAA